AAATCCAAAACACTTATTATTAATAGTATGTGTATGTATGTATGTATATATATATATATATATATATATATACACATATATATATATATATATATAATATATCTCAATCCAAAGACATTATCATACACATTATCATGAACAGATAATTTTCCATTTTTCTGTCCATTAAATGTTTTGCTTTTTTCCCCCTTGATTCTCTCCTTCTCACCGCCATTGCCCACCCTCCTCCCACACTGTCTCTAGTATCCACAGTTGCTCGCTATGCTTTTATACCTTATCATCTTTATATTTCTCCATAGAGTGCAAGTGCAGATTATAGATATTAGAGACAGTGTGGAAGAAGGGTGGGAAATGGAGGAGGGTGAGAAAGAGGGAATTAAAGGGAAAAAGAAAGAAAAAAACATTTAAGAGTCAAAAATATAGAAAATTATCTGTTGATAATGTGTATGGTAATATCTCTGACTGGACTAATACATAGTGTATTCATGCTGGGAAAATTCATTTTGTATGCTGCAATGATATACAGTGATTTAATGTAAAAATGGAAAAGAAGAAGAAAAGACAATTAGTATCTATTAAGTGGGGACATACAATGCCTCTCTTTCATACTCTGGCTTGCTTTACTTAGCATTAAATTTTCCATGATCATGAACTTTCTATCAAATGCCAGGGTCTCATTGCTCTTCATGGCTTGGTAGCATTCCATAGTGTATATGTGCCAAACTTTATCAGTCCATTCATCTGATCTTGGATATTTGGGCTGATTCCATGTCTTAACAATTGTCAATAATGCTGCAATAAACATGGATGTGAAAGTGGTTTCCCAACTGAGTGTATTCCTATCCTTTGGATAAATATCCAGAAGTAGAATTGCTAGATCGTATGGTAGTTCTACTTGTAGGTTTTTGAGGAACCTCCATTTTGTTCTTCACAGTGGCTGTACTAATTTACATTCCCACTAACAGTGTAAGGAACATCCCTTTTCACTGCACTTATCATTCTTTATTTTTTTTAATCTTAGCCATTCTTACTGGGGTTTATGTGGTATCTCATTGTGGTTTTGGTTTGCATTGTCCTTATCAGAAGGGATGTTGAGCATTTTTTCATATATCTTCCTTGAAGAGGAAGATATATGTCTGTTCAGCTCATTTGCCCATCTTTTTTATAAAAAAAAAAAAAAAGAAAAGAAATAACTTCTTCATTTTTTATTGACCTCCTACTCCCCAAGAGTATCCTGCTTCTGCTGTCTCAACACATCAGAACTATGTTATCCTTGGTCTCAGACATGACCTTGCCATCAAGCCTATGAGCATGGTCTTCTGAATGGTCTACATGTAGTTGTTGCTGTTTAGGGTGTCACCAAAACTGAAGTCCTCACCATCTTCCAGCAGTCGGTGGTAGGTGGCAATCTCAGCCTCTAGCTTGACCTGACGTTCAGCAGGGTCTTGTACTCCCAAGCCTGGTGCTGCCCCTCTGCCCAGGTCTGTGCCAGCTCTGACTCCAGGTGCAGCAGGACCACTGAACTGCTCCATCTGTGTGGTGTAGTAGGCCTCCACCTCCCTCAGGCTGATCTTCAAGCTGGTTTTCAGATTTCTCATTATGTCTAAGGACTGGACCATGTGTCTAAGCTCCATGAGTGTCATTTCTTCTGCACCAACCTCAGTGGACTGTAAGGGACCACTGTTGTGCTTTCTTAAATCTGCTGGGACCAGTACTTGGCCAGCTCTTCTCTGTTCTTCTGAGCTACCTTGTCATATTGGGCCGATACATCTGCCATGATCTTAACCAGGTCTTGATATTTTGAAGAATCCACTTCCACAGTCAACCAAGAGCTAGAAATCTGGACTCATAGGCCATTTACTTTCTCCTTGTGGTTCTTCTCTATGAAGAGAAATTCCTCTTTGAGAGTCACAATCTCTATCTCTAGCAGCAGCCAAGTAAGATCAGTGTCATCAGTGACTTTGTGGAGTCCATGGATATTGTTCTCTGCAGACTGACATATACCCAACTCTGTCTCATACTTGACTCTAAAGTCTTCAGCAGCAAGACAGGCATTGTCTGTTCACACAATGATGCAGGCATTGTTCACAGAATTTCCAAAGATCTGGGTCCTCAGTTCCTTTATGGTTTTGAAGTAACACTCCTAGTCTCTGATCTGGGGCCCCTTCTTCTCCAGGTATTCCCAGATTTGGCTCTCTAGCCTCCAGTTTCCTCACTCTGTCCAAGAAGGAAGCCAGGCAGTCATTCGGGTCTTTCATGTCCTCCTTCTCACCCTGAATGCTTCCAATTCCTGCAAAACTCCCAGCATGCCCACCTCTAGGCCTCCCACACCCCCTCTCCCCCTGGACACTGCTGGTGTAGGAAATGGAGATCCAGAGCCCAGGAACCAGTAGTTGGTGGAGAAAGTAGGTGATGAAGCATATGCTGTCTGGGGAGGAAAGTGAGAGGCCAGGAATCAGGTTTAGGCTGCCTCCTATCTTTTAATCAGATTGATGATTTTTTTTTTTTTCAGGTAACCTGCTTGAGTTCCCTGTATATTCTGGTTATCAATTCCTTATCTGAGACATAGTTCACAAATATATTCTCCCATTCTGAGAGTTGCCTCTTCACTTTAATTATTGTTTCTTTTGCTGTGCATAAGCTTTTAGTGTTTAAGAATTATCTATTTAATTTTACTTATCTTTAAAAAAAAAAAATTGCTACAAGGCACGTTTAATTACCAGGAAGAAACACAGGAGAGGAAAAAGAAGAGAGAGGGAAAGTCAGAAAGCAAGTTGCCAGTTCCAGGACTTGAACCACAGTTGGCCATGTGGGATTTCAGTGCCTCACCTACCATACCACTTTCTGGCTTCAGTGCAGAAGCTTTCTTTTTTTTGGGAGAGGTTTTTGTTATAGGGCGCGTGCACTCGCCAGAAAGACAGAGAGAGACATAGAGACAGAAAGCGAGAAATCACCCCCCAGGGGGGATGGTCACGCCGCAATCCCTTCTCCTCCATTCTCCTCTCGGGATCTTGGGCACACAGGCACACGCGCCTGGCGTGAGTTTTAAGCCACCGGGTCCAGAACACAAACTGCGGTGGACTACGTGGGAGTCCAGTGACATAGCCATTACGCTAACTGCTGGTTCCCAGTGCAGAAGCTTTTTAACCTGACATGATCTCATTTTTTTTTTTTCAGGATTACCCTAGACACCTTTAAATGGTTCAATAGCCACATAATGGGTATTCCAGAAAGTGAAGAGACAAGTAAAGACATAGAAAATATCTTTCATGCTATATTGGCTGAAACATTTCTAAATTTAAAGGGGCATTTTGACAGCCAAACCCAGGAAATGAAAGGTAAATAAAGTAGATTTAACATAAGAAAATCCTCTTTAAGGCACATCATAGCCAAATTGGTTAAAATCAAAGACAAAGATAATATTCTAAAATGGTCAGAGAGAAATGTCAAGTTACTTGCAAAGGCTACCCCATTAGACTAACATCAGACTTCTCAACTGAAATATCACAGGAAAGAAAAGAATGGGAAGATATATTTAAAACTCTCAGAGAAAAAACATTTCAGCCAAGAATATTATATCCAGCAATATTATCCTTTAAATGGAAAGGAGAGATAAAATCATTTCCAGATAAATAAAAGCTGAAAGAATTCACCAAAACTATACCAACTCTTTATTAAATATTTAAGGAAATACTACACCAGGAATACTAAAGGGAATTAAACAGAAGAGAACACAAAAACAATTAGAAAAAAAAAAAGAGTAGCAAAATGACAAGGATAAATTTGCACGTTTGGATGATAACATTGAATGTCAATGGATTAAATTCCTCAACTAAAAAGCACAGATTGGTTGAATGGATAAAAAACACAGGAACTCCCTATTTGTTGCTTACAAAAAACACACCTCATTGACAAAGACACATAAACTAAATATTTTGAAACACAGTATTTATAGTTTCATCAGCTTATTGAACAGAAAGGTTCTTTGAACCTGGCTTTCAGTGATCAAAACAAAAGCAATTTTGCAAATACATGAACTGAATGATGATCACCATAATGAATGGAAGCCACCTTATCACAGAAGTACGTACTACATATTTCCCATCTTTAGACATTTGCCTCAACAGGTTTCATATTATATATTATTACAACCGTTATTCATCATATAAAATTAGACAACAGAAGAAAAGTCCAAAATGTTACAAGTAGCTAAGTCTGTCTTTGGAATGAATTTAAAGAAGGTTAAAGTCAAGAACTGTCTAAAGTCTACAATTCACCAAATCACTAATTTTACCATGTCTTCACTTAAATATCTCTTTCCAATTTTGTTTTTGTTTTTGCCATTTTAACGACTTATTTCTTTATGAAGAGTACAACACTGGGGTCTTGCAAGAACTCATAGTAACAGTTTTCTTTTTCTATCTCTTACTAATGAGCTATTGTTATGTACAATTTTACCTATCTCTCACTGGATCAATGATCGATACCACAGATCTTTTCAGATTATAAACTCTTATCTCCCTCAATCCTCTACATGGAAATTACAAATTATTTTTTTATTGGCGAGGTTACGATTACTCTTGTTTTCAAAAATCCAACCTCATTAACTTATGACACTTTTTGTTGTCTGATTGTTAGTTATTTTTTTCTTTAGAACTGTATTTCACAGTAAAGAATATCATTGATAATTTAATGTACACTTAAAAACACAGACTTTCTAATGTGTACAACATAATGTTATATGTTGAAGATGGTGAATATGTTTATATCTTCAATTTGTTTAAGATACACTGTATACATACTAAAAAAAAATACTGTGCCCTATAAGGATATATAATGATTATATTAAAATCATGAATTACATAAAAAATACTTTGAATCCTAATAATAATAATAATAATAATCATTGGTGTTGGACCTTGTCTACACCTGCCTCAGAGCCAGTGGTTCTTGAGGCACCCAGTACCCAGCAAGACATACTGCACACTGACAGAGCGGACATGGGCAGAGTGATAATGGCCAGGCTTGGGCTGGGACTGCTACTGCTGGCACTGCTTTTACCCACACAGATTTATTCAAATCAAACAACTGTTGTAACACTTTCAATTAACTCCTACCAGAATACTTTGGCTGCACCAAATCCAGCTAACACCACCAAGGCCATTGGCGATGCCCTACAATCAACAGCCAGTCTCCTTGTGATCTTACTTTCTCTTCTACATCTCTACTGTTAAGAATGCAGGCCAAGAAATAGTTACATTTCCCCATCTTCTAAACCCAATCTAAATGGCAGCTAGAAGGCCAGTGTGACAAGGAAAAAATAAGTCTTATCAAATCTGCTAATTCCACACATTATTTTATCAATACAGAAAATGTTGAGAATCTCAGATTTGATTGGTTTGAAGAACAGGTGAAGGACTTGACCAGACGAATGCCAATATTAAACCTCCTGCAGTTTTGTGTACAAGATGAAGAGACAACACCCAAAATTAATTAAGACAACACCCCAAATTAATTAAGACATGATTTCCTTGAATGTGGCTTAAGAAATACAGACATGGGGGAACCAGCAGTTAGCGTAATGGCTATGTCACTGGACTCCCACGTAGTCCACCGCAGTTTGTGTTCTGGACCCGGTGGCTTAAAACTCACGCTGGGCACGTGTGCCTGTGTGCCCAAGATCCCGAGAGGAGAATGGAGGAGAAGGGATTGCGGCGTGACCATCCCCTCTGGGGTGTGATTTCTCACTTTCTGTCTCTATGTCTCTCTCTGTCTGTCTGGTGAGTGCACGCACCCTATAGCGTGATTGCACGCACCCTATAGCAAAAACCTCTCCAAAAAAAAAGAAATACATACATGTAAAACTCTACCTTGAAAATAAGAATAGATTATTATCTTATTGAAGATAAAGAATGAGATGCATTGGGTTATCAGAAAAGTCATGATAAAATGCTTCATGATTTTTCTGACAACCTAATAGAGATTCAGTTTTCATTTGGTTCATTCAATCTATAAGGCCAAAGAACAGTTAGGTAATTATGAAAAGTTTCCACGATTCTATTTATAGTTACATTAAAAGGAACTTTAATTTTTAAACTAAAAATTTTAATTAGTTTTAATTTAAAACTAATTTTTAAGAATTATTTATTTAATTTTATTTATTATTATTAATTATTTTTATTTTAATCTGCTATAGGGCACATATTCTCACCAGAGCAAGACAGAGAGAGACAGAGAGGGAGGGAAAGTAAGAAGGCAAGTCCCCAGTTCTGGGATTGAAACCCTGGTTGGCCATCTGGGAGTCCAGCGCTCTAACCACCACACCACCTACTGGACCCAGCAGTACTAATTTAATGCCGATATACTCTAGATAAAGCTTTATGTGATAAAGCTATCATTATTCTCTTGGGAACTGAACCCTTTCCTCTGAGGCTTTGGTTTTGACATTGCATTTGTTTTTTTTTTTTTTTATGTAATAATTGAGATGTACCAGGGCAATGATGAATTGAAATCTACTTCCAAATCTAAGCATATTAGGTAAATCTTGCTTAACCTTATAAAGTCAAATGGTAGGCATTTTTATCACCTGTTTTCATTGGACAAGAGCACCAGATTCATTTAATTAAACTTTTTTATTTTTAGGTAAAATATATTTTAAAAGTAGAATTCCATTGACCTCAACTGATTTTAAAATGTTGCCTTTTATTCTTGCATATGTTGAATGCTTTTTGCATCTTAAAAAATCTATTTTGAAGGTAGAATTATAAGTTTTGAAATTAAAAAGGCAAATACGTGAAGGAGCCAAACAGTAAACCAAATATCTAGGAAGTGAGACTAGAAGCTAATTGGCATTAAATTCACAGAAACTTTTATACTGTTTTTGTAACTACTTTTTTGACCTATGGATCAGCATAGCCACATTTAGAACACTTTCTGTTATCAGTCAATATTTTTAGATGGTTAGACCCTCAAGTGGGCTTCATTCTAGAAAATAAATCTTTCATGACGGGCTCAACACAGAAACCTTTTAAAAAGTAACACTCCCCTGAAGAATTTTGTTTGCATGGTCACACATTGGTGCTTCGGTTCTGTTCCTGTATCTAATGTGGCCACAGCAGGTTTGATAACCAAAGTCTTTCCCCCTCATGTTTAGAAAACTGCATGAGAAAGAAATCTGAAATTACCATGTGTGTGAATGAACACTCCCTTTTGCTTCATACCTGAATGCTATACATCTATTTTGAATTGTATCTTGTGTTTGTATATTTATACTTTGATTCTTAGTAACTTTTCCTGTTATGGAAGTGATTTGCCTTGAACAAAAACTATGAATAGAAATGAAAGAGAAAATACAATTGCTCTTGTTCTAATTCACTATCCATCTTCCTCTTCTCTTTGGCTAAGATCACAAAGGAGTTACAGGAAACTTTCCAAAGATCCTTGAGCAATCAGTTTAAGGGAATTGATTTCCAACTCCCCTAATCCTGTCTGAACTCCTCCTGACATGGATCCCCTGAGAATCATCCTTAATTCAAAGCCTTGTGCCCACATCCATCTCCTTCTCCCCTCTTATGTTGATATACTCCCACCTGAAAGAAAAGTGCATAGCTTCAAGTGTCAGGTTCCCCAGAGCACCCATCAGGGAGCACTCAGAAATCTGACAGCAGAAACCAAGCTGAATCAAGACAGCAAACACCCCCTCATCCATCTGCAATAAGGGCTATCTTGGCTATGATGATTTGTTTTTATATTTAATAACTATTGGTCAATATTTGAAATGCATGTTGATTTAATCAATCTATAATGATTTGTAAGCATAACTCAATTAGGTAGAAAAAAATTTAAGTTTATTTTCTTGTTTCATGACAGTGAGAGAAAGCGATGGGGTGGGATGGGAGAGAAAGACAAAGCACCCTCCAAGAATCTCACACTGAGGTCTGCCCTCCCCCAAGCCTTCCCAATTAACCAGAAACATGGGCACATGCACCCAGAGTCCACAGGATGGCCAGGGAACTAAACCCGAGCTCTTCCATGTGAATCTACTTTCACTGAGCAGGGCATTACCACTGCGTTACCAAGCTGGTTGGTCCCAGAAGAATTTTTTTTTTAGCATTTATAGTCACCAAAAGCTTTTTAAATTAAATGTTGATTGTATATATTCTAAATGTTAAAGAAGACCTTGCTCTGTTTGTGTTTTAATAGAAAATGGAAAGTATCAAATTATTTGGATTTCTGTATTCCATTGTAACATTTTTTTTTTAATTGCCAGAGCGTGTCTGAGCTCACCAGAGAGAGACAGAAAGACAGAGAGGAGAAAAAGCAACCCTCCTCACCATAGGGCATAGTACTTTCTCCTTCATTTCTGTCTCCTGTCAGGAGTTGGGTCACACACATACACACACACACAAACACACACACACACACCTGGGACGTTTTTTAAGCCACTAAGGCCGAGACTGGAATTGCAGTGAGTAATGTGGGATCTAACTCCCCTCACTACTGGGCTATAGGGCCAACCCTCTTTTTTAAAAGAGATGTTAACAATTACAATTTAGAATGGCAATGTTCGCATAGCAATATAAACGCCACCCTTTACAACTGCTTAAATGAATCAAGAATTTTAGATGTCAAGTCAATGCACAAGTGAGATACGCAGATTCCTGAAATTCATTTTGAGGGTAAAAATATGTGAGAACCATTGGCCTAGAGAAGCTTGGCTGAGGGTAAGAACACAGGAGAGGTCCTCTTCCTCCAAGGTGTCTCCGCAGGTTTGGGGGGAAGATGGCCACTGAGAATCCAGCAGTGAGATAATTGGCATTGTTCCTCTTAAGCGCAGGAGGTGAGGATGTCCTTGCTCCTCTCGAGTGCACAAGCAGAGCAGAGAACATTCTTCAGTTTCCGCTGAGTGACAAACCAGCAAGGAGCTCCATCCGTCTACCAGCAAGCACTTAGAACCAGGGAAAACACCATTGCCCTCTGTCCCACCCCCTGCAGACAGCCCAGCCCAGGAGCTCTGCCTTCCTGTTTCTCAGCCTCCCCAAAGCTGTCAGGCTCCCCATACCTACAGAAAGAGCCTGCATAGAAAGAGCCTTCAGTGAAATTCAAGGTCATCCCCGCTGCTTGTCTTCCATGAACTAAACAGCTGCATCTGTCTCCTTGTTCCTACCCATTCTCAGGTCAGTCTCACACAGCGGTACCTGCCCTGGTGCCCAAGTGCCCCCCACAAAGCCCTCCAGGCTTTAAACGAACACTCTTTTCCATGCAACTGTCTCGACGCCTCACTAATTGGAGCTCAGAGTCAGGACAGAAGTGTCTCCGAAGTGTCATACCTCAAGAAACCAGGAAAGACAAACCGTGCAGCCCCGGAGGGGACCAGGCAAGGCTGTGGGCTCTCAGAGGGGATGAACTTGTGTCAGTACTTCCATGTCTGGTCCAAGGGGTCCCTAAGTGTCGCTGTGGGTGGGGATGAAGCCCACAGGCTTACACCAGCCACTTTGCCTCCTCCAAACAGGCTCTGCAGAAACTGTTTTCACAGATCTGATATCATCAGCTGTGAGCAAATAGCTCAACCCGTCATTCCTAATTTCAGAATAATCAGCCTTATTCTCAACAGGCTCAGTCTCCACCCTCTTTGCTAAGTGCACTCCATTTGAAGGAAAAATAGACATCTGCCTCCAGCCCCTGGCTCCTGCTCCCAAGTCAAACTCTCACCCTTTCCCTCTCTTCTCTCCTTCTGTGTCAGGGATAGGCGTACCTGTCCCTGCTCAGTCAGGACCTTCTCAGGGACACTTTCTTCTCTCGTTGTCCTCCATATTCTCCTTCCTTGTTTATTATTTTTTTAAAGAGAGATTTTTACTATAGGCTGCATACGTTCACTGGAGAGACAGACAGAAAGCAAGAAATAACCCCCAGGGGTATGGCCACACCACAATCCCTTTTCCTCCATTCTCCTCTTGGGATTTTGGGCACACATGCACATGTGCCCAGTGTGTTTGAAGCCACCAGGTCCAGGACTTGAACTGTGGTTGACTATGTGGGAGTCCAGCAACGTAACCATTAAGCCATCTGCTGGCTCCTCTCTTCTTATTTTCAACCTTTACATTTAACCTCTTCCTACCTACTGTCTCCCCTTTTTGAAACTAGAAACTCTTTGAACTCTCTCCCATTGTTTAATAACACCAGGCAGTGCTCAGCCCCAAGCTGCCGTCTGTCAACCATCCTGCAGCTCTCCTTC